AATGCATGTTTTTTGCAATGCTACATTTCCTGTTTATTATAACTATGTTTATAAATACAATATTTCACAAAGATATCAAAGAAGAAAAAAAAAGCAGTAGTTAGAATATAAACAAAGCACAGTGGAGAGCAGCTCTCCCAGCTCATCACCAGCCACTACTCTTCCTCTTGCCCTTCTTTTTCTCTTTTTCCTTCTCCTTCTCCTTACCTTTCATTTTCTCTTTTGTCTTCTGCATTCTCCATTGTTCACGTGAAATGTGAACAGTGGAGATCAACTCACCATTGGTCTTCTTTGTTTTCACCATCAGCCATTGCTTTTCTCCTTTCCCTTCCCCTTCACTTTCTCCTTCATCTTCTGCATTCTCCATTGTTCACGTGAAATGTGAATAGTGGTGAGCATCTTACCACCGATCTTCGTCGTTTCCACCACTAGCCACTGTTTTTGCTCTTTCCATTCTCTTTCTGCCTTGTATTCTGCATTCAACACTGTTCGAAGAAGAAGACAAGAAATAAAGCACAACAGAGCGCATTGAACAACAGCTCACTACCAGTTTTCGTCATTTTCACTACCATCCATTTTGCTTCCCCTTCCCCTTCCCCTTGGTCTTCTGCATGCTCCATTGTTTATAGTCAAATCAAGTCTGTCCCAAACCTAAATGACTGATATCTGGGTCTGACCTAGTAAAATTTAAAAAATTCAATTTTTTTTTTAAATATTGTGTTTTATTTGAGAAACTGGTGTTTACTATTATTTAATAACACTATATAATTATATTAGAAGGAGATCGCATGATAACTTAATATTTGCAAACTTTAATTGCAATTGCAATTTTATTTTTGATGATACTTTACTTGATATTGTTGCATGCTTAGGAAGTCATGGAAGCTATAGTTCTTGACAGATGGATTTTATACATGATGGACTTACAAATAATTTAATGAAACAATAAAAAAAATATTTTATATAAAATATTATTTATTTCATGATATAATAATAGTAGTAAAATATACAATATTTCAATTAAAAACTATTAATATTAATATATGTCTTTTTTAGTTATTTTATAATATTATTTTGAAAATCATTCTTAACTAAGTATGTTAAATTATTTTTTGTTCAACATCAATTTTAACCACGGTTTTTTCCAAACCAACCATAGCTAAAATTACTTTTTATAAAATATTTTTTTCAAATCACAACCTCATTAGTTACTATAATACCAAACATACTCTTAAATTTGTTAAAAAAATCATCTTGAATCAAATGATTTAAGATTATTTTTTTAATATATTCAAATCTTACTAGTTTATTTTTAATTATAAATAATTATATTACCCTGCAAGAGTGAACTCATACAAGTTTTATGATTAAAAATAGAGATGTATTATAAAATTAATATAAAAACTTTTTTTGAGATCTCATCAAAGAATTAAAATTTTTGAATTTAATACTCATTTTATAAACCCTTTTTGTTCTTTTCATTTCTTTTCCTGTTGGCAATAAAAGTTAATATGACATAGAGGTTAATATTCTAGTTTCAAAAATTAGATTGGGTTAAATTTCTCAACTAAGTTCACATCTTCGAACTTCAATCCTATTTAAGGTAGACTAACCGAGATGGAAATAGAAATTCATGAGGATGCTATTTCTTTTTGTTTTTTCTTTATCATAATAAATAAATAAATGGAAGCCCCAATTTAAAAATTAAAAAAAAATGTTCGTCGGCCGCCTTCTGACTTCAGGCCAAGGCCCCATTGTTTCTCGCACTGCACAGATCAACATGGCCCTAGTGAGGGCGGCCATTGACATTGCGATAGATTATGGGAAGATATCACGTGCGATGTTTATTATATGATTTTTATCTAAAGAGAAATTTATACTGTTTGTTTTTATACTTTAAATTTTTTTGAAAAAATTTAATTTAACTTTTTTTAATATTTTAGATTATTTTAATATATTTATAAATAAAAAATATTTTAAAAAATAACTTAATCAATACCTTCACAACTTACAAAGGGATACCGCTAGGCCGGCTTCTCTGACCAATTACTTCTACCGTTTTCAACGCGTGTCTAGTAGCCTGTCTCGTAGCTCATCAAAGCTGTGGAAAAATGCAGGCCTGATGCATGTAATTCCTTTACGTGTTGGTTTTCTTGTCAGAACGCTTCTTAATTAAAAAATATTAAAATAATTTTTTTTTAATATCGATATATTAAAATTATTAAAATAAAAAAAATACTAGACACGTTAAACCGTCAAAATAAACACACGACATTGATAAGACTTTAAATTTTTACGAGGATATTATTAAATTCTTTGGTACAATTTTGACTATGGAAGACCCAAAACAAAGTTTAATTTATAGAACACCCATCAAAGGACTTGGATGAGAGAACTAAGATCATGTTTGGTAATGGATGTAGCCATAATTTTTCAAAAAAATGATTTTTTTAATTAATTGTTTGGCATTTAATCACTTTCACATTTTCTCACAGCCATGATTGAAAATTGCTATACAAGTGATTATTTATTTCTGTATTTTAAAAATATTTTAAAAAAATTAAATTTTTTTATTTTTTATTTACTTCAAATTAATATATTTTTTATGTTTTTAAATTATTTTAATGTGTTGATGTTAAAAATAATTTTTTTAAAATAAAAAAAATCATAAACATATATTTTAACATAAAAATTATTTAAAAAACAACTACAATTATATTAACAAATAATTAACAAATAAGCTTACAAGTTCTATCTCTTTTGAGATATATAATTATTTGTCACAATTACAGGGACTTCAACTATGAATATTATCTTTGTATGTTATAAGATAAGGTAGGAATTTCTTGCAATTTAAAACTGATAATTATGATTTCTTCTTATCTTTTTAAAAAGTATTTATTTGATATTGTGATGTGATGTAAAATATTTTTATTTAAAAATATATTAAAATAAATTTTTTAATTTTTAATATTAACATTTCAAAATCATTAAAAAAAACAACAAAAAAATAAATCATCAAACACAATTAAAAAAGCAATACCAAACCGGGAAAAAAAAAATCTAGGGATCATTGAAAGAAAAAGCCCTGTACATAACTTGGTCCGGCACACGCAAATTAATCCAGTGCTGTCTCAGCAATGACGTTTTTAGTCATTGGGTCCACCACGTGTTCTGACGTGGCAGATAAAAATGTTGCACGCAAGTCAAGATGTAAAAAGAATTATATTTATGCGCGTGCAGGCAAAAGATAAGGAGATTTGGAGGTGCACCAAGTGCCCGTGCAACTGACAGTTAAACGACACGTCTGTCTACCATGCCTTTGCCATTTTTAGACCGGGACCTCGTGTGTAGTAAGTGTTTGGCTTTTACAGGAAAAGATGATCCACGTGATGGCATGCCTCGATTAAATTTTCACGTCAAGATTGGATGTCATGAGCGCGTGACATCACATGTCTGTGGATGAATTTATAAAATAAAAATAAAAAATAAAGTTAAATAAAAAAACTATTATAATACATACTATTTAAAAAAAAAATTATAAAGTTAAAATTTTAACTAATTTGATATTTAAAAAGTAAAATTTAAAAAATAATATAAAAAAACATTATAGTAATTGATAGTGTTTAAAAAAACTATAAAACTAAATTATCAACCAGTTTAATATAAAAAAATAAAATAAAAAAAAACCATGCTGGGAAATACTATAGCAATATATAATGTTTTATGAGAAAATCTATAGTTATAATTTTCAATCAGCCCAATATTAAAAATAATAAATCGATAAAGATAATTTTAAAAAAAAATCATAACAAAAAAAACCATGTAGAAGAAGATTATAGCAATCCATAATGTTTTTTTAAAAAAAAACTATGAAGCTAAATTCTAAATCACCTCAATATAAAAAATAGACAAAGATATTCTAGAAAAAACAAAACAAAATCATAAAAGAAAAAAAAAACTATTTGGGAAAACACTATAGCAATTCATAGTGTTTTGAATAAAAAAGACTACAAAGTTAAATTCTTATTTAGCTTCATATTAAAAAAATAAAATCAACAAAACTAATCATAAAAAAATAGAAAAAAACATGTGGGGGAAGTTAAAACTGAATTTTTAACTAGCTCAATATTAAAAAAAAAATGACAAAGATAACCATAAAAAAACATGTAGAAAAATACTATAGCAAAATAAAAACCATTTAGGGAAACATTGCAAGAATCTATAGTATTTAAAAAAAAAACTATGAAGCAAAATTTTCAACCAGTTTTATATAAAAAAATTGACAAAGAAAATTTAAAAATGAAAGAAGTTATGTAGGAAAATATTATAGTAATCCATAATATTTTAAAGAAAAAAAATAACATAACTAAATTTTTAACCAGTTTAATATTAAAAAAATCAATAATGATAATTTAAAAAAAATAAAGAAGAAGACAATCTTGGAAAAAAAAAGAAGAAAAAGTAAAACACAAAAAAAGGAAAAAACTATGGGAAAAAACAAAACATAAAAAAATGAACAAACAGAAAAAAAACCTAACTAAACAAATAAAAAAATAAAAAACAAACATGTTATGGGGAGAAAGATACATTAATTTTCCCCTAATTTTTAGAGCATTAATTAATAAATAAAACACATGCTAAGTTATTAAACTTGGTTCCATAATTTATGGTAAATTCATGATTAAATCTAGGTAAACCAGCATAATGTTTATAACTTTGATGATATGGTTAAACTGTTGAGAATCTATTTAATTCAAAATTTAAGATATTTTTTTAAAATAAAATAATATTACAATAAATAATAAAAAATAAAAAATTATGATTCAACAAAAAACTTATGAATTAACATGTAACTTAAAAACAATTACACCTTCCTTTCAAGATCAATTTCAAACGAGTTTGAGAATCATATTTGACTTGAGTTTTTTCAAGGAATTAGATAATATATATATATATATATATTGATACAATTGCATTTTTTTTTTAAAAAAAGGCAATGCCAAGTTATAAAAACAAAAAAGAAAATGCAAAAATTTCCAACTTGTATTAACTTATCAAATTTATAATCTTAATTATTTGACCAAAATAAACAAATTTAAATTTTTTTTGAAATTCAATTCTCAACAAACCAAATATTAAAAGATAAAATTAAAAAAATACATATAACATATAAAAAAATAAAAAAATAACAATTATAATTAAAAAAAACCCGAGCTTGCTCAGGTCAACTCTCTAAACTTACAAGTTGGGTCATAAAATTAAAATAACATGACAAAATAAAAAATGGAGAAAATCACGAACTCAATTTTTTTTTTAAAAAAACAAATATCAAGTTATGAGATGGAAAAAAACAAGTATAAAAAAAATTTGATGTCAACCCCTACTAGCTTATAAAATTTATTAACATAAAAGGACCTTGAAGGAAAAAAAAACTAAAATGAAAAAAGAAGAAAAAGAGTAAGCCTACCTGGGTTAACTCACCAAACTCATAGATCAAGTCATGAGAATGAGATAACCCTATAAAAATAAAAATAAAAAAATTTCAAAGCTTATTTCTTAAAAAATAAAAATCAATATGGATTGATGAGACCAAGAAATAAAATAAATTCACAAAAGAGACTAGAACATGTGTCAGCTCATGAAACTCAAGACCCGAGCCATTTGATCAAAAACATCAAATCTAAAAAAATCATGAAGAACAAATATTTAAAAAAAACAAATGTTAAAGAAAAAAATTGAAAAAAAGCATTCAATCACACACATAAAAAAAAATTAAAAACATAAAATAACAATTAAAAAAATAAGAATCACATTTGAACAAAATAACATGAAGGGCTAAATTAAAAAGAAAAATTAATTTTACAATAAATTTTTAAAAAGAAACCACCCAAAAAATGAGGGCTAGATTTAAAAAAATAAGAAACTAAATATTTTAATTATAGGATGGAATTAAAAATAATTGAAAGTTTACAAAAGAGATGAGAGAAAAATGAAGGAAAAAAAAGAATTATGGCCAGATTTTAAAAATAAAAAAATTAGACTGAACGATGAAATTAAACAAAAAGTTTTACAAAAATATTATAAATAAAAATTAAAAATCACAAGAAAAAAGATTGACATTTTAAATATCTCCAACAAAGAAAAACACCTTCAAATTTTAATTGTCATGTATGAATTTTGAGCAAGAAAGAAAAAATAAAGGAAAAAAAAATTATTCTAACATAAATTTATCTAAAAAAAACTAAACATGCATTAAAGAGGTTACCATGAGGTATCTAATAGTACAACAAAAAATAAATTTTCATCATTAGACACATCATTAAAGCATGATGAAATCTCTTCATAAACACCTATATATAGCATATGCCTGACAAATTTAAAAATTAAATAATTTTAATTAATATTAAATAACAATTTTCCCCTCTTCTTATCTAAATATAAATTTTTCCCAATATAATTTTGCACTTTTATTCCTTGCAGGTGTTCCTGGGGAACTCCGATACCCTGGCTACGCAGAGGCAAGAAATGAATTAATTTAAGTGGGTTTGGCTTGGAGATGTGTTAGTTTTTTTTTTAAGATATGAAAATTTTTAATTACAAATCACATATATAAAAATTTAAAAAACATGTTTTTTTATATAAAATCCCATAAAAAAAGTTAAAATTAGCTTACATTCAAACACACACTAAATGAGATGAAATTTAGAGGAAATTAATACGGGAATGCATCTTGTGAAAACAAACATTGAGAGAATAAAATAAGAAAACTTGCATATGGAAACCGGAAAAAAATATAAAAAAAGCAAAACATCTGATCTTTAAAGATGAAAATAACTATAGTTTTGGAAATACGTTGCAAATTATATTTTTTAAATTTTATTTTTGTTAAAAATTATTATTTTTATTTTTATTTTTTAATATCTTAATATTAAAAATAATTTTTTAAAAAAATATATTTTTTAATATATTTTTAAATAAAAATACTTTAAATTATTACCGATATTATAATTTTAAAAACACCTTATAATGGAGACGAAGACAAGGTATCATTCTGCATATCCCAAAAAATAAAAAATAAAAAAATTGGAACACCGATAAACACTGAAAAGGCCATACTCCATAGCAGGAAGCAACAGGAAAAATCAAGTGGGTTCTAGAGAAGACAAAAATGGGGGTTGGTGTCAAGTGCGGGTTAAATTTTCTGTGAAAACAAAAAAATATTTAAATATTACTGATTATTTTTAATTATAAAAATTAAATTATATAATAATTTATTTGATGTGATCCAATTGATTTGATAAATCTAAAAATAATCTGAATAATTATCCAAAAATATATAGTTGGGCTAGAAAAATAAAATAACAGTATTTAAAAAAATATTGAGATGATAAAATATTTAATCAATATTGAAAAATTCAAGTTAACTTATTAAATTCACGATCCAAGTCATTAGATCATAATAAATTTATATAAAATAAATCAAAACAAATTAAAATGTTTAATTCTCTATCAACCTAATATTGAAGGATGACATTGAAAAAAATAATTAAAGAAAAAAACTTGAGTTAACCTTGATTAACTTGCCAAATTCATGACTTGGATATTGAGATCATGATAATCTTATAGAAAATACATTGAAAAAAAATAATTATAAAGATTAATTTTCAATCAACCTAACAGTAAAGGATGAAATAAAAAAATCAATAAAAAAATAAAAAAATCGAGTCAACACTGGTTAATCTATCAAACTCATGACTTGTGTCATTAGATTAAGATGGTCTCATAAAAAGCGAAAAAAAAAAACTCAAGTCAACCTATATTAACTCGCAAAACTCATGATCCGGGTCATAAGATTAGAATAACTCAATAGAAAGCAAACCGAAATGGATTATAAAGCTTAATTTTTAATAAATTTATTGTTAAATGATAAAATTAAAAAAATCAATATAAAAAACACAATAAAATGATCTGAGTCAACCCGAGTTAATTTGTAAAATTCGTAACTTAGATTACAAGATTAAGATAACCTCATAAAAAATAAACAAATAATCATGAAACCTAATTCTTAATTAATTTAATATTGAAAGCTAAAAAATAAAATAGAAAAAGATTGAGTATACCAAGATAACTCATTAAATTCACAACATCGATCATAAAATTAAGATGCCCAGGTAAAATATAAAGCATAATAAATTACAATATTTAATTTTTAATAACTAAATATTGAAAGGTAAAATTAAAAAAAACTTAGATTTTAAAAAAATAAAGGTAAAAAAAATAAAATTGTGATGGATTTTTTTTTAAGTTAGTGCAAATAAAAACACCACCTCTTTATTTATTTATTTTTCTGTTGATAAAAAAAAGAAGCAGTTTGCATCAACGCCATAGTGTGAGAAATCCCCAAGTACTGCAGATGCTACTGCATCGACAAATCAGCTACAACTTCCTTCCTTGAGATGTTATCTTATATGCTACTTGTTAGATTGTCCGGGAGCTTTTAAGGTAGCAACACTTTTTATAAACCAAACACCACCTTAGCTCTTTGATTCTTATTATACATTCTCTTATATTTTTCTTAAGAAACTAGCAGTTATTATTATTATTATTGTTATTTTTTAAAAAAATACAAGAATTTACCCAAAACCCAGAACCTACACTGCTTATAATAAATAAGCAAGAATCGAGGGAATAATAATTGACTGGTGAAACAAGGAAAGCCATTTGAGCCCTTTACATAAGAAAACCAAGCTTAAGCCTTGAACATGGGCTTCCATTTTAATTGTTATCTGGGCTTATCACGCAATTGCAATCAAGAAAGGCTTTTTTTTAAATCCATTTCACTTCTTCTCTATTTAAGCCAAGATCCTAATCAAAATCAAAATTAGGGTTCTTGATTTCTCAAAATTTAAGCTACAATGTCTTCTAACGAAGCAGGATTCGATGAAAATGGCGATGATCACACTGATCGCGTCTCCCGTTACAGGGTACCACCATTTCTTCTTCTTCTTTGTTTCTTCTCTACAAACTTTAAAACTCTAACTGTACTAGAAGTACACCCCCTTTCATTATCCGTAGATAATTTATGTCCTTTTTCTTATGTTAGACGCACAGTTCTCGTGAATCTGAACATGATAGGTCAAGGACTCGCGGCAGGGAAAAAGATCATGACCGCTATCGTAGAGGCTCTAAGGATGGAAGTGTGAGGGATGATAGAAGAAGAGAAAAAATGGGTGATTTTGACCGTCATGAAAGGAGTAGCCGCGATCGAAATTATCACAGGTTAGAATTTTCGCAATTGTTTTTTGCTATATGAAGTTCATTGTCGTGTTATTTTATCATTATTCGGATATATTCGATTGAATTTTGAGCTTATTAGATTTGAGATTATTGCTAGTTATCTATTTTAGGATGATTGTTGGCGTGGGAATGATATTTTGATTATGAATATAACTGATCTTTTCATAGGCACCGTGATTATGATGGTGATAGAGACAGAAGGAATGGAAATAGATCAAGTTCTCATTCGCAGGGTAGATTTCAGAATCGATCTAGGTCGCGTTCTCCTTCAAAAAGGTATGTGATTTCTGTAATGTTAACCCATCCATCCATTCCTTGTAATGAAATGTAATGGGTAGATTGCCGGCTTGTTTACTGGTTAGCTGGTCCTTTTAATTAATTTAAACAACTCTTGGAAAGTGGGGGCTATCGAACCCTGTTATAGGTTTGCTGGTGTTCAGTACAATCAAAGTTTCTCATAGCTCTGACTGTTAGAAAAACATAACTGCAATTTCTATTGCTGTTGTGGTTAAAATTGCACTTAGCTCACTTACACATAGTAAAACTGCAACTTTGTGCGCCAATTCTGGCCATCTTAATGATGCAGAACAGCATTGGGGGGCTGTTCTGAATCTGACTCTTAGAGGTTGTTTAGGGTTGTAATGTTGTGGATTAATGCTAGAATGTGAGGAAGGATGCATATAGATTCTCGGAGTCACACCTAGAGGATGGAAAAACCTAAGCTTCACACCTAGGCTCGTAGGAGTCACACTCAAGAGGAGATTGGGTCACAATCAAAAGAAAATTGCTATAATTTATTTCATCAATTGTCACTAAAATATTGAAAGACTACCAACCTTTATATAGAGATGCTGGTACTCCTAGTCCTGCAAAGACTTATTTTTCTATAGAAGAAATCTCTATAGAATAGGAAAAACCTAAGAAAGCTAATTACTTTAGAACTAATAGAATACTAAATAGAAAATAACCTAGACCTGGAAAATTTTTAGATTTTCCATCAAATCTGAAAATTACAGAAATATCCTTATCTACTTCAAGACATTAATCTTGCTTCCTTTGTTGTCAGCATCACTTAATCTTTTTTATTTTATTGCTGTTTCCTTTCTTTTCTTCCCTGTTCTTCTGATTAATTACCTTTTTGATTATCTTATTCTTCTATGGAACATTAATCTAAATTTTTTGAAATGTCGAAGCTCAAATAATAATTTTTAAAGATTATATTGTTTCATAATGATGTTCTTAAGGTTAATTTTGTTGACAGCAAGCGGAAAAGTGGTTTTGACATGGCTCCATCTATGGTGGGCATACCTCCTGGTGCTGCAGTGACAGGTCCGCATCTAGTTTCTGCCTCATGTATGCATAGGTTCTTCCATTCAAGTAAAGTGGTTTCTTAAAGTACTATATTTTCAGTCTGCAATTGCCCGCCACATTCTAGTCAACTTTTAATTTTTTTTTGAAAGACCCTTAATTTCATTTCCTTTTAGTTTTTATCTATTGCTTACTACCAAAACTAAGAAGCATCATTCTGTTGTTTGGTTGTTGTCTGTTGTTTGTTTGTGTTTATGTTTATCACTTGGGTAAGAAGGCAATGTTGGGCTACATGTCCCACCCTGCTACCCATCGGAGTGACCACTGTAGATTAATGGTCAACGGGGAACAATGCATCAGTTAGCTGGATCTTGTTCGTCCTCAACTGACAAGAGTGCCATTTGGTAGACTTACAAATATTTCCCTGGCATCTCCAGAGATGGAATTGATTTCTTTATTATTTGAATCGTGTAATTTAGGTATGAGATAGGCTTCTTTATCTAGCTTTATGATGAAGTTGATAACTCTGAACTTCCATACATCTGATGTCGTTAAATTTATTAGCAGGGTTTTTTTTTTTTTTTTATATATATATATATATATAGCAGAATTTCTTCATCTTTTTGGTTCCCTGACTTATTCCTCTATAATTACTTGTTAATTTTAGTTAATGATGCTGGGCAACTGCCAAGTGTTCCTCAAACAATGCCAGGAATGATACAGAACACTCTACAATTTGGAACAACACAGGTGCACTTCACAACTTTCATTGTTTTTGTATTGATGTATATGTCGTGCACTTTTGTGCATATGATTTTCTCTTATTATGTGTTACAGTTTGGAGTTCTTCCATTAATGCCTGCCCACACCATGACCCAGCAGGTGGATATTCAATGTTGCTTATTAAGTAGCTGTAAATAGTATCTATCCATGGAATCTCTGTCATGTATTCTCTATGTTTCTATCTTATAGGCTACGAGGCATGCACGACGTGTATATGTTGGTGGTCTCCCCCCCTTGGCTAATGAACAGGTTCAATCTCATTTTTTGGTTTGCTGTTTGTGCAATTAAATACATTTATAAAATGTTTACATTCAACATTTAGAACTTGTAATTTGAGCATTGCAAAATGCTTTTATAAATACATGATTGTGTTTGTTCTTGCACTGTCTTTTTGACACCATCTTTGTTTCCTATGTGAAATTGCCAGCATCTTCTTAAACTGCAACTTTTTTTTTTTAATTATCTCTTATAATTTTCATGGTTATTATGTTTTGAGTGCATTCTACGAGTTATCCCTCTTGTTATTTGATTTTAAAAAACTAGCAAGGACCAATGCCCTGGGAATTCTAAGACGAATGCTGTAAAAGGATTTTGTAGCATTCAACAGGCTAATTGTTTTCCAAGCAGTGTTATTTTGTTACAAGTTTAGTTCGATAAGTGGATCTTTGAAGACATCTTGTTTTAAAAGCTCCACGTCCAATGATTTCTTTGAGAAATTTTTGTAGATGTAGCTACATGTCAGGGTCTAACATTCTCGCTGTTATGTATTGAGGGGATATAATATTATATTTTCTTAAGGTTGTCTGTTCATGATGTTCTATGACTGGTTGCAGTCAAGAGATTGGATTTATCATTTTGAATCTTTTGAATATTTCTTTTCTTGTTCCTTACCAGTATTTAGAGTGATTTCCTTGCAGTATTGGAGCATTAAATGGTTTCTTATGTTTTGAAACAGACAATCGCAACATTCTTCAGCCATGTTATGACTTCAATTGGAGGAAATGCTGCTGGTCCAGGTAGCTGAGCTTGTCAAAGTCTTTACAAGAGTTCCTCTGGACGTATTTCTAACATTTTCATTTAATTGCGGTGCACAATCCGATGTTTTCACTTGCAGGTGATGCTGTGGTGAATGTATACATAAATCATGAGAAGAAGTTTGCGTTCGTGGAGATGAGAACTGTAGAAGAAGCAAGCAATGCAATGACATTAGATGGAATTATTTTTGAGGCAAATGATTCTGAACTCTTTTCCTTTATTCTTGTCACATAGTGTTAGTAAAGGAGCAATATGTGATATTTTGCATCATTATATAATTCTTTCCTCAAACTACAGGTGTATTAATTTAATATTAAATGGAAAGTGGTAGTTTGATGGATAAGACTCATTTAGCATATGGATTTGATACTGAAGATGATACATATTAGTTTTCTTAAACTATGCTTGCCAAATTTTTTCCTGTTGACCATCATTAACTTCTTTTATGTGTGAGACTTTGCGCTTCAGCTAGCAGAAGTATTAGCAGGAGATGGTTGAGTAGGTTGTAGCTTATTATCTTATTCATCAAGAAAATGTGCTTTTAGATGTATAAAAGCTCTTGTCGTATCCTTTGACAACAATTAACTATTCATGAATTGACTTGGTATGCTATTTGGCAAGAGTGAATTATCGCAAATATTTGGTTAGGATAATGATATATTTTGTTGGTCTTTTTATCCACGTGCTGTGGGGCTTGAATTTAAAATGTTTTGGGTAAGAGCCGGGTAAAAAGTTTCTATATGCTTTAATATTTATTGCCTTCATTTTCATGGATGTGAATCTCATAAATTTATTTCTACGTGTCCGTACTGCTTTGCTTGATCTTTGATCTCATAAAGTTCATGCATCTTTGATCTTTCTAGGGGGTTGCTGTGAGAGTTCGGAGGCCTACAGACTATAATCCATCATTGGCTGCAACACTAGGTCCTAGTCAACCAAGTCCTCTCCTTAACTTAGCCGCTGTTGGTCTCGTACCAGGGTAAGCAAGTGCCTCATCATTTTTGATCTGAAGATTGGCTAAGCATCTATTTGCATTAATATGGCATTAATGATTATTTAATTTCAGCAGG